TTTGTGGGTTTCATTCCCTGATGATTCCCATAAATCAAGTCTGTAATCTTCAGTGACAGACAAGTTCAGTCCTGGAGAGCTGTTGTTCTGCAGGTTATACATATGTACCGATCCAATGCCTGATATGTCAGCAGGGTGGCATAAAGTCTTGCAGAAAGCTTGAAATGCGTGTGTTTTGTACAGTAAAATATACAGGACATAGGCCCTAAAGCATTGGAGTTGCCCTCCCTTGAATTAAAACACACATATTAGTGAAGTCTTGAAATCTTGAGTTTAGACCACAATGTCAGATAAATCTTGGAATTTAGGTTAGGTCTTAAAACCCTCCCTAAAAATAAAATCATTATTACTTTTAGAAGTCAAGATTGGGTTACCAGTCTGAACTTGGGTAAAGGTATATACCTGTAATTCGACTAAGACAACCATTATGTTTGTATATTTTAGTAGCATTTTGATACCCAGGGCAAAAGGTTTATAGATAAAGACCCAAATATATATATATATATATAAAACTGTTTTTTCACCCCTCGTCGGGTTCTCTACCAGAGGCCTGGGAGTTTGAGGGTTCTGCGCAGTATCTTAGCTGTTCTATAGGACTGCGCTCTTCTGGACAGAGACCTCTGATGTTTTACCTGGAATCTGCTGTAGCCACTCCCCCAGTGCTCTTACTTTCCGCATCTTTTCTAGCTCCACTTTCAGCCCTTGGTATTTCTCAAATATATATATATATATATTTTTTTTTTTTTTTACAATTTTTCAAGTCTGCACTTAACAAAATGACAATGTGTCAATGTCTATATATACACCTTCTTCTTCTTTTGAATATTTGACCTGATGTAACAAGTACATTTCTCCACTGTGAGATCAGTAAAGTCAATCAATCAATCAATTAATCAATCAATCAATCAATCAATCAATCAATCAATCAATCAATCAATTAATCAATCAATTAATCAATCAATCAATCAATCAATCAATTCATCAATCAATCAGTCAGTCATTCAGTTAGTCCGTCAGTTAGTCAACCATTCAATCAGTTAATCTTGAGTGGCCAAAATACTGAATTCTCTGTTTTAAATGTTGAAAAGCGATAACAACAGCACTGTTTTTTTATTTGTTTTTTATGTCTTTCTGAATTCTTAGTTCAGGAGTTGATCTTTTAAAGGCTCCCATTCAAACAAAAAGGGACCACCCATTACAGTGCAGGTCAAAGTATGTATCTGTAATCCAACCAGGACAACCACTGTGTTTGTATATTTTAGTAGCATGTATTATACACGATAAGAAGCTTTCAGGTAAATGAATGAATACATTATGGATTGGTGGTTGAGCACATAGCCACAATGCACTGTATCCAGTGAGTGGAGAAGAACAATCATCCTGAGCCAGGCCAGCAGGGCAATGAGGGCCAAGGGGGCATTAGAGGGATCCCTGAGATGTCAAATCAAAGAGGAGATGAGGGAATATAAGGAGACATTAAATTTTTCTTTTTTGTTTTTTAACTACGAGCTACACAGACAGCATGCCTACATCCCTGTGTACACACAGATTGATTTTGAGTACACCCGCACACATAGCACAGATTGCCACGTGGATACACAGAGAAATTTCCCTTCCCTTTGTGCAAGTCCTGAGGGTGAAGAAGGCATTCGTATTCAGTGAAGGATCGGCCAAGGCATAAGCGGTTCAGATCCATTTTGTTTTCCTTGCCACTGGCAGAAAGCTTTGGCCATTATGACCTTGTGATGAATTCAGGGTTCATTTCCTACGGATTCCTTTTATGTGCATGCATGTAGAATTAAATCCAAGAAAAAGAAAGGCACAGGTCAAAGCTAAGTGTACACACACGGTCTGACTTTTAGTTCTCTGTGCACAGTTAGCGGGAGAAAGTTTCACTCCTGCTCACTGTCATTTATTCATTAGCCCTGCAATCAGATCTCCAGTCCAAGGCTTGGAATGTTATAAATCAGTCAACGGCTGGACATTAAAAATTCATTTAATTCATAATACATGAGACCTGTCATTTATTTATCACCTCTAAATGGGATTTCCTCTCCTCTCATTGGCTCCAACTCAGAAGGCAAGTTCTGTTAGCCTGACCTGCAGCCATTTTGAGACTGAGCCAGGTCTGAGCTAGACAGGGCAGGTTATGGAGAATAATCCTGCAGCTTTAAGGCAGGTAGAGCAAGCCTTTATCCTTAAAATCCAGGCAGTGGGATTGGAAGCAGGTGGAAATAACCTGTGGGTAACTGCTGTGCTGGAACAGTTACTTTCTGCTGATTCTCCTGAGCAGCCAATCTAATTGGGAGTAATTAGGCCTTAAAGTGTTCTTGTCTTTTCCCAACTTGGAACATGAGTCCCAGCGGAGGGTGGGTGATTTGGGCAAAGGGAGATTTTGAGTATATTACTGGAAGACTGAAGGCTGTTTTTGCCTAAACACATGAACAGCCTGGCACTTTTCCATCTGAGGCTAATGCCATATAGCAGCACAGAGGCTGCACCTGGTACTAAATCATTTTTTTTTTTTTGTGTGGTTGTTGCCAAATATGCTTTGCAAAATGAAGAGCTTATACCTGCATTAAGACAGTAAAGTATGTTTTTAATACATTTTTTTGGACAGGCTAAGGAAAACAAAAAAACAACAACAATGGGATAAGCTTCATGAATGTGTGTGTGCAGGGTGAGTCTTAGACAGGTCAACTCAACAAGCCGACACACAGTATGAACCACCATGTACAGAATATATTTTTGCATCTAAGGCAAAATTGCTGCTATGTTTTAACTCAATGGGGCATGGTCAGCAACTCTGAGAGTCCCTCCCCCTCTCCTTGTTTTGACATTTTCACTTTGAGGCAATGTGGAAGGATAGTAACATGTATGATAGATGCACTGTAATGAAGATTAATGAAAGACAAACATCGGATGTAAACTCTGCAGTGTCTTCATAACATGAATATGTTTAATGTTTAGTTTTGTTTTCTCTTCACATTATATCATTAAATATTACCGTATTTTAACCTTTTGCTGCGTCTATACGCTCGTCAACCGTTGACTTTGCATGTAAACTCGCTGCTTCTGCTGCACCTGCTGCGTCCGGTTCACAGCGAGCACAGCATTAATTTGTTTCACCATGGGTGTGGTGATGAGTGGAAAAAAAAACACCTGGTCTCCTTACATTCACCTCCCTCAGCCACTCTTTCATCATCTCCTCAATGAGGTGGTCTCAAAAGTCGCAGTTACAACACACAAAGGGCGCACCGCACCAAAGGGCGCACCGCACATTTTGAGGGAAAAAAAAGACGTTTATGTGCGCCTTATAGTCGTGAAAATACGGTAATATGCTTGATTCCAACTGTCTAGCTAAAAAATTAGGTGTGCTTTTTCATTCTAAATCTATAATATCCACAAAGAAAAAACTTTGGTAAATCTTAGAAGACTGCTTCTGCACCTGTTTGAGATGAGAGGGAAAGAAACAACAAAAAGAAAACAAAAAACAACAAAACTAAACATTTAAAACTAGCTGCAAGGGCATTGGGTATCCATTAAATATCCAGTCATTATATTTTTGAGCGGAAAGCAAAACCTATGGTGATTATGCAATATTATTCAGGCTTTTATACATCTGTAGCTGCAGCTTTGTAGTAAATATCCATTTGTATCCATGAACCCCTGGAGCTAAACGGGTGTGGTATTTATGCATAAGGAATACTTCTTTCTGAAGGATTTACAAGGCTTCTTAATGAAAGGAAAATATGCTCAAGAGCAGGTGTGGGTGGCCGCAGACCTTTCCTACAGGCACAGGACTGATAAAGAGGCGACCAGAGAGACACAGGGAGGACAGGGAAGAGCACCTGGAGTCTAACCCCAAAGAGGCCTGACCCCAGAGAGTATTGTCTAAGGAGCCCACAGGCTCTGCCAGCAGCCGGTCACTCCCAAGGTAGACCCAGATGAAAGATGGCATCAAAACTACATTTGTAGAGTCAAGTTATTAACTATGCCCCTACTTTGAAATGTGCTTTCAGAAAAAGTTAAGTCATTGTGTTCTTACTGCTGACACTTGCTGGAGTAATGATGGTGTGCAGTCTTTCTCACTCTGGGTAACATAAATGGTCATTGGTCTTTTAGAGAGATAAAAATACAGGATAGACAAAGAGCCTGAATTCATTTTCCCGGGTAAAACCAATCCCATTGTTTTACATCAAGGGGACTATTTCCATGGAAAAGGGGCTAATGCTCTTTAAAATACCTATAAAGGGCTGGTTATACTCCCGCAGTAGTGTGTCATAGTGAGCTTTAGTGAGAGCTTTAGTGAGAATTACGCCCAATACTGAAGCGTGGTCCGCGCTATGTTATTCAACGCCACAAAGCAAGAGGTACAATCACAAACTAGCTGTGGGTCTAGATACGGCCAAGGCTTTGACGAGGTGGGGGCAAGTTTGTGCGACACCAGAGGGACAAAAAGGGTTCCAGCGTTCTCGCGCACCTCGCTCTTCTAGCTGGTCCAACCTTACGAATCGCTTTCCACACGGTGGTCATACAAAAAAAATAAGACAGTAAGGTACAAAACAGGAAATACTCATAGTGTAGAGCAGATGTAAATTTGACAAATCAGAGGCCTCCTGTCTGCTGCACTGTCTGCGATCACCTACAATTTTGAAAGGCGCACCAGAGTGTCTGCGGAAGGGGTGGGGGCACATTGGCATTCACTGCGACACACAAGCAGACGACCTGGTTTTTCAGTATAAATCAGCCACTGAATTTATATGAGGGTTGAATTACAGACTGGTGGAATTCATCATTTCTAAAACTATTTGGTTTACAGAAATGTATTTATAGATACCACAGTAAATGGGACTATATCTTAATTTGATAATTACCTTTTCAGATTTTATGGAGGGTGAACCATTAAAAAAAAACATGCAGTATTTTCTTTGTGCTTTAAATTCAATGCACTGGTATTTTTTACTAAAAATCCATGAGATTCAAGAAGATTGACTTACGAGTTGTTGGCTTGTTGCAGTTGTGCCCATGCCTAAAGTATTGTGGATTTTCTACCACTGGTATGCGAGTCATTCCTATCACGACTGCATCAGGTCCTGCATCCAGAGTACAAGGGGTAATTATCCCGTGATTGACATGATGCAGAGGGCTGGCAGAGTCTTCCTCACCACTGATCACAGCTACAGGACCTGTAAAAACAAAGAGAAACTGTGACTTCTCCTATAATTCAAACTACACTTCAATGTCATCTTTAGATGTCAGGTACCGTATGATAAGATTATATCATATGACCCTGTCAGAGAAATTCATACTATTTATTAAATGCTTAAAATATGTAAAGCTGATAGAATCCATAGGTACAAACAATGGCTTACATATTATACCAAGGCATCAAGACAGTGACTTACTGAGTGCTTTATTTAATAAAAAAAAATAAATCTTTCAGTGTGATGAATTATCTTAGGAACAAAGGTGAGAGTTTAAGGATGAAACATGATAGAAACACTCTGTGTTAACAAGTTTTGATCCGCTTTATGCCGAAAAAAAAAAAAAAATCAGAATACCTTTCGAATCTTTTTAAAAACAATATTTGCAATCCTTCAAGTTACACAATGCAAATTTTAAATCTGTTACTTTTGAAGCCATTTGACAGAAACAAAAAAACTTAAAAAAATGAATTTAATACAAACATAACAAAAAGAAAATATATATTGAATTGCAAATGCACCCATAACACTGATAGAGGCATCTTAGCCACTACAAAAAACATAGAATAGGTCGCCTCAGTTTACTGACTGAGGCTGACATGTCTGGTTCAACTGGCACCAATGAGGCAAGGCATTACAAGCTAAAGGTCAAAAGGTGTTGGATATATGAAATGGCAGATGAACTCTGAGCTGTGAAATGGGCTGAAACAAGTCTGATCCACAGTAACCCCACCAAAAAAAACAACTTTCAAGTCTTTCAGAAAACCCTCCTAACATCATTGCATCCTTTACAAGAGAGTGGCTTGAAAAGAAGGGTAGATTTATTTCGATATGGACCATCCTCCATATCTAAATAATAGTTATTTGATTCTTTTAAAAAGGCAAAAGGTCAGAGCCAAAGCAATTACCTTTAGTTTAAAGTAAAAGAAAATAATTCTCTGCTAAGGGGAGCAGAAAGTAACAGGGAGCTGTATCTAAGGATGCACGTATGAAAAACATATCCTTTGTTTGGCCAAGCAAATGATTTTTTTTATCTGTTCAATCAAAATGGTAAGAAATTTCCAGAAAAGGTAGTGAGTCACTTTCAGCCAGTGTGATCCAGTCTGTTGTTCTATCACCACTGTGACAGAAGCAAATCACAGCTCCAGCAGCTGCAGCCTTCAGAGACAACTAAAAGAAAAAAGCAGGGGGGCGGGATTGGAAATAGCAACTGGATATAAAGTCAACAACGACATATTCAGTGGAGATGTGGCAGTGAATCTGTTTACCCACCATGTTGAGCCTTTTTCTCACCTTGACAACACTCTAAATAGTAATCAAGAGCCAGTCATATCGAATTATGAAACCACAGTTGCAGGGGGAGGTGGGAAGTGATGAAGTGAGACATGTGCGCAACAATTTATTCACAACATTTGCTGTCATTGCAGGGTTTTCATAGCTCAGTGCCCTCTTTATTAGAGAGATGTGTAGAGCAGAGCACAGGTTTTCATCGGGTGACTACCTACCCAACCACAGGGGACTAAAGCCTCAGCATGGCTCTAAATCTCAGCTGAAGACTCAAGCCCACCCACACAGAGCTCAGACATACAAAAAATTACTATACAAAAAACTGTTATCTAAGAACACATATTGAGGAGGTCTAAAAATAGAAGAAATCCATTGTGTTCTAAAATTATACATAATTTGCTTTTTTATATGACATGAGAAGGAAAGAAAACCACAGAGCTGGATCGATAAAACCCCAAAGCGGAAACCCTGGCTTCATTTCAAGCCTACCTGCTCTAAACTGCACAAAAAAACCTCCCACCCAATTCCTTGAACTATGAAGGCTTCCTGAAAAGTAAAGGGCAAATTGGACGTCATGAGTTGAGAACATTTTAAAAATTACATTCATGATACCTTGGTCTTGGTGATGAAAAAGCCCAGAAGCATCCTAGAGGAGTTTTATCATCTGAGATTCTCTCTCTGCACAGAATCGATTTCAGCACAGGGCATTTCCCTCCAGATATGGCTATCTCAGGGTAAAGTTCCTTTTCATTACACTAACTTTGATTCTTTGGATAGAGGAAGGAAATGTAATGAGCCAAAGTTCAACATTTTCCTTCTTTTACTCTTGTCTTACATTTCTTGAAAATCTTTTCACCCAATGGAATAAACCTCTACATGGAGTAGTGCAGTGATCTTCGGCTCAAGTACTTGAATTCTCTGCACTAAAAGTATATATTTTTGGAAATACAGCCAATGTGTATACACAAAATTACTTTGCTAAATGGCTTCAAGGAAATTATTATCACTGCCTATTTTTTCACATATGTTTCCCTGGAATCTTTAAATGGGATATAACTGTTGATGGAATAAATGGAACAGATAAACTTTTTTTTTAATCTGGCTGGAGCCTTGGAATTCTAGGACAGATTCATACAAAAAACATGGATATGGATAATGTTTTAGTATAGTTTAGACATGATAAGTACACTGATAGCTTCAGCATATATAGAGCTTGTAAGTATTATAAATTGCGGATCTTCATTTGCAACACTAAGAGAATACTAAATTATATATATATGAAAAACTGATAAAATTAAAATATAATTTTGCTTTTGTATAACGTGTCTTTAGTTTAGGGACAGTTTGGAAAAAGAATAAAGGGTTCAATAGAGGAGGGCCTTTTAAGCTAAAATATTCCAGAAGCAAAAACCAGCTTCATCTTTAAATTAGTAAACAGAGTATTTCCATTTCCATATGCTGTTTAGCTTCTCTGAACCATTAATGGGATTTTCATGCAGGTTCTGTCAGGCCTCTTAGCTGTAAAGACTATCAGCTTTGTCCCAGAGACCTGCTGTCTGCCTAATGAGTTTTTAGTCATGAAATTAGAAATTGTTAGTTTTGCTGAATAAAAAAGAAGTAAATCACAAGTTCTAGAGCTTTTGCAGAAGTTCCCCCCCCCAGCAACCAATTAAAATAACACTAGGTGTTTTGCATTCACATGATAGAAGAGGAAAGATATCTGTGACTGCGTTACATTTAAAGGCGTAATGTCTTCTAAGGTAAAAAGTTATAAATATTGAAGGTATTTTGAATGGAGATGTTTGTTATTTGATTCAATGATGGAATTAACAATTTAGGGGAAACATATAGCTATTTGAGAACTAATGCAAAATTTATTTATTTATTCTAATTTTTGCTTAGACAGAAATTAGATGTATTGTTTAAATGTCCTCTAAAATCCAAAAACATACACTGAATGGTGAAACGCACACAGGCTCATCCAAGAACAATTTAGAGAAGCCAATAAATCTAACAGTCATATTTTTGGACTATGGGAGGAAGCAGGAGTACCCGGATAGAACTCATGCATGCAGGGAGAACATGCAAACTTCATGCGGAAAGCCCCTGGGCCAGGTACCAAACCCAGAACCTTCTTGCTGCAAGGCAACAGTGCTAACAACTGCAACTCTGTGCAGCTTTTATTGCATACCACTGTACAGTTATTTAAAGCTATGTCTATAATTCCTTTCAAATGCAGGTACTGCTTTGCAACAACATTCCTACTGGGGAGAATACTGAGATGCATTGTCATTTTTTATCTATTTAATAGCATTGCTAATATCCTTTTTCTTATTAGTTTAAAAAAAAAAATCATTTGTAAATTGTTACTACAGAAAGGGTAATTTGTTGGTTTTGCAAAAAAAATAAACACCTGCTTTGCCTACTCACTGCTAAGTTTTGCTTCTCTTTAAAGCGCTTCCACCCTGAAACATTGGTAAGTATTGCAATGCTTTATTCTAATGACAAAAAAAAACTTTTCAGAGCTACATCTTCTAAATTGGCTAACACAATTAGTCGGGAGAAACAATTGTGGATTATCTGTCCCATTCTTTTAACCAGAGCAGAAGCACCACAGCACATTAATCCGGGGTCTTAAAAGGGACTCATACTATATGTTGAAATATTATCCAAGTGCTGCGCTCCAGTAGTTAATTACAAGAACATTCATGCTTTTGAACCAAGCACCTCTTTGTAATAGCTAAACCAGGCGGAAAACACATTTTATCCTCACTCAGGCAGCTGCAAGGTGTGCAAGTTTAGAATTTTCTGCAAACATACTTATTAAACACCTTAAAATGTGTCAGTCCTTAAGGGTGCTTATCTAAAACCCTCTTAAAGGTTGTCTATTAAAGATTCAGCACTACCTCCGCACAACATGCATAACAGCAAAAAACAGGTGTGCCATTATCGCCCTAGTCTTGGCCAAATCAGAATTAGAATTGGAATAAGAGTGCTTCTATCAACATTGCATGAACATTATGAGCATTACCACTGTAAGCACCACTGCATTGCCTCGGGCACCCAAATCCTCACCAAAACCAAGAAAATTGAGTACATCACCCTAGTTCTAAAGAGATTACATTGGCTCTCTGTATCTCAAAGAAGAAGCAATGAAATACACATCTTTATCTATAAATCAACAAAACGTTGTTTTGCAGCTAATTGTAGTGTCTAACCCCTAGCTACCATTGGCAGCACCCAAGTATGACAGGACATGCTCACCACATCGCCAAGCAAGTAAGAACAGTAAGCACTGATCTAATACTCTGCTAATGCTTAACAGGAGGTTGTGATCTTCTATCATATAAATACCTTTGCTTGTCCCCATCTGGCAACACAGACCCCTAGTTGGTAAGTAGGGCTGCGGCAAACTTCATGGAAGTTGACTTTATGCAATTCCAGTGAAGATTGAGTCCCACTATGGATGGAGCTGCCTGGTCTCAATGACTGAACAGGAGTAAAAAATGGCTTCCTCATCTCATCATCCTACTTCAAGGTTTATGCCCACCTCCCCTCCTCACTGTAACTGCCTTCTTCCCTAAAGTCAAGAAACTGGCCACATGCTGCGGGAAAATACAGTAAAGCTGAATTATATTGTCCTGAAGATGTTCTTTGGAATGTTCCAAAAGTATCTAATTCTTGCTCCAAACAAG